AAAAAAAAGAGTTACAATCTTGGAAACCTGGATATTCATAAATTAAATTGGGTTTTATATATATATTTAATAATTGGAAGCAGCTTTTAATAACTATGTAAATAAATAAAAATTGAAAGATAAAGTAGCTTTGTAAGAGTTCCTCATAAAAAGATTAATTAAAAGAATACACAAATAAAAAACAAAAGATAACATAGACAACTTAAGATGCTCACATGTCTAGTCAAAATTCATGTTACTTAGCTATTAATAACTCACTGAAATTTTTAACGATTTATTTACAAGTAGTTATTAGGGGGAATTGAAGTTTCCCATGTACCAATGCCGCTCCACACACACACACCCTTATCTTAATTATTATTTTAGCATTTATTGAATGTTTTTTTGTGGAGAAGAGAAAGGAGGGGAATTGTTGGAATTGTGGAAGACAGGCAGCAGCCTGGGTAACCCATGGAAAGGTGTTGTGTTTGTGAAAATGCATGGTGGAAAAGTTGCAAAATGCTGTTCCCGGGTGCCAGGAACTTGGATAGAATCAAACTATTAAAACCATCGGTTTATCAAATGCAGGTGGCTGATAATCTTTGACTCTCATAACAGTCAGAGCACCCAGCTGCAACTATCTAATGAATAACGGGCAGTTACATCCCAACTCATGAGTCTTTATCTCAGACATTCTTGACCTTGAATTATGAATGAACTTCATCTCTCACCTTAAAAAAGCTCTATAGCATCTTTTATATTTTATATTAAATGAAGTCATTTATTTTTCTTTTAAAAGGAGTGTTAGAGACCCATTAAAATAATGGAAGCACTCTAGTTTTGGCAAACCTGGTGTTCAAAATCTTATCTTTACCCTCTTAACAAGGAAAACAAATGACTTGTGGGAGTCTTCTTTTTCTGCCATCAGTTCCCCTAGGGATATATGTATTTAGTTTATACACTCAATTGGCATACCAGTAAACTAGCTGATAGGCATTTCCAGAGGGAGCACCAATGGCACAGTGGGTTAAGCATTGAACTGTGACCTGTAAGGTCAGCAGTTCAAAACCCACCGGCAGCTCCGCAAACCCACTATGGGAGACATATGTGGAGTCTGCTCCCTCAGCGACCTCATGGAGCAGTCTGACTGCTCTGAGTCCAAATGGACTGGAGGGTGGTGGGTGCCTCAAATGATGGTGTATATCTAAAACAGAATTGTAGGTGTTTAGAAGGGTGGATTGGGTTCATTAATTTGTAAAATAGATTCTTTTTTTGGCAGGAGCTAGCAGCATCTTCAAGGGGCTGACCCCTGGTATTTCTTAGTTGTATATGGATTTCTAGTTTACAAGTTTCCATACACAAGACCTCATCTGATTATCACAAGGACTCTGAGAATTAAACAAGTCAGGTAGCATCATTTCAATTGTTTACAAATGTGGAAATAAGCTCACCAACATCAAGTAACTCAGCCTGGGCCTCACTGCTAGTGAGTGACTGAGATGTTTGAAAATTCAAGGATTCTGTATTTTAACTGATGTAAACACAAAGTCTGACAAACTGTTTAGAGCAGCAAAAGCCAAAACCGATTGCTGTGAAGTTGATTGCAACTCACGGCAACTGCCTGGTGTCATGGGGTAGAACTGCTCCATCGCTTTTTCTTGGCTCTAAACTTGACAATCTCTTCCACATGGCTCCTGGGTAGGTTCAAACAGCCAGCCTAGTGTAGCATGTAGTACTTGTAGAAGCTCATCGGATATTTGCTGAGTGTACGAATGTGTCTTGTGAGCCTATTTCAGCGTTCTTCCCATTGTACTGTGTGCCAAAACCCTAAAACAGAACTCTTGAAAATGGAGAAGGAGGAGAAGACATGAGGGGTGGGAAGGGACATGAAAGGGGGAACCACAGACTGGGAGTGAGATGCGAGGCAGGGATTACTTCCTGGCGAGCAGGGAATGACAGATAGAGGCAGCGGATTTTGGAAATGTCAGTGTTTATTAAACATTTAGGGGCATTTGGGTGTTTGAGAAGAAATATACAGAATGTAGAAAAATCCTAAGAATCCCCTGTGGCCAGGAGTGCTGCCTCTTCCCTTTCTCCCCCATTTTCCATTTTGTTTTTCCTGCTTTGAGTTTGATTGTTTAAAAACCATTTCTTAAGGCTAGCTTGCCCCCTCTTTCACCCCTGACCGGTGAAGGTCCATAGTCTCTCTGTCCTCCCCCCAAGATCCATAGTCCCAGAACTGTGCTCCAAAGGGGTCAGGGGTCACTAATCCTGTCGCTGAAGTTGAGGATTTGGGAACCCCAGCACTTGGCTCTTGGACTGGCTCTCCATTTGGGACTTAGTGGGGGTGGGGAATTGAAAAAGCCACATGACGTCATTGGTTCTCAGTCATGAGGAGAGAGGGCAGATCGTGGGCACAAGTGAAAAAGGAAAAAGAGAAAAAAAAAAAAGCATCCTAAATAAACCCTGAAGGAGAACCTGACCTGGGTGGTCTGGGTGTTAGCCGGGAGGACAGAGTATGGGGCTGGGCCTCCGATGCAGGGTGGGGCAGACAGGAAGGAGCCAGTGGCTGGGTGTAGGGGAAGAGAAAGCCAAGTGGCCTGCATTTGGGGGGGGGGGGGGCCAGGGCGCTTAATCAAGGTCCCTTTCTTCTCAGTGCCCAAGAGTTGGGCACCAAACACACAGTCCTTGGCTGGGGTAGATGGGTAGCATCAGGTCATGAAGTCCAGGAGAGCTAGGGGGTGAAGATGGAGGAGACGATGAACTGACTGGGGAATGCCTTTTTGGAATGAAACTTACATCTCAAAGGGAGGGACAAGGTGGGCAGGGCTGGGGAGCCGGGGAGGAAAGCACCTAGACGGAATAAGAGGAGCCTAGTCCCCGTGCTCGGGCAAGGGCCTGGGTGGGGGTGGGGTGGCGATCATTTGTCGGAGTCCAGGCCCATCATGTTCTTGAGGGCGTTCTTGAGGCTGGTTCTGCTGGGGGACTTGACCGCAGGGCGGAGCTCGGAGCTCTGCTCATCCTTCTGCAGCTCCATCTCGATGACCACCACCTTTGGAGAGCTTTTGGAGGGCTCCGCCCCTGACCCCCGACCCCCCGCCCGGCCCGCTAACCGCTATTTCTTATCCTTGCGAGACTCCCCCAGCCCTTTGGACTTCTTCTCACTGGCCGCTTTGGTGCTTCTGCTGTGGTCCAGCATGGCGTACAGGACTGGCGTCTGGGGGCGGGGGGAGGGGCGTGGACACGTCAATCAGCCGGCCTGGGAGAGGGGTGGGGCTTAACGATGGCCTTCCCACCCCTTCCCTAGGTGCCGAGTCCCTCTCACCTGCCGGCCGCGCTTAGACGAGTCCTTTCCAGACTTGTGAAATCTTCCCTTCTCCATGGCACTGCAGGAAAAGGGGTGCTATGGGTTTGGACCCACCAGAACCCAGAATCCTAACAGAAGGAACCATTCATTCCCTTCTTCCTTAGGCCCTCCCACCCACTGGCGCAACCTCCCCCCAAAGGGCTCTAGCAGGGCTGGGGGGCGGAAGAGCCCCGTCCCGCCCCTTACCTGAGTCGCCTCTGGAGGGCGGCCTGCCTGCGCAGCCAGCAGTACCGCACCAGGTAGAAGAGTAGCAGCAGCAACAGCACCACCCCCAGGACACCCCCGATCACAGCCCCCAGCACAACGCCGTACCTAGTTGGCACTGGGAGAGAACGGACAAAGGCGGGGCGTGGGGGGTTGCGGGGAGATGAGCAAGGCCTGCCACCGTAGTGCCCAGCCCCCACACTGCTTTCCTGCGCTTGGGAATGGGACTCCGCCCACCTTCCCGGTTCCGCAGGGCCCCGGGTCCTGGGTTTTGCCTCTTCCCGAGCCTTGCCGTCCGATCTTCTAAGCCTTAGAAGCCTCAGAGTCTAAGGTCTTGGGCTACTTGGGACCACCTCCCCCATTGCCTCTCACACCTTTTTCGAAGACGTAGAGCGTGACCTGAGAGGTCTTGCCCACTATGTCTGGTGGGTTCTTGACGTCACAGGTGAAAGTGCCGTTGTCGCTATAGTCCAGGTTGTGTATGATAATGGAACCATCCTTCCATCGAGGGTCCCCTACCCACTGAATGCGCTCTTTGAAGGTCCCCACCTCATCGATGTAGGGTTGCCCCTTGGCATAGTGGAAGATCTGAGGGCGGAAAGCGGGGAAGCGCGGGAGAGGACGGTGGTGAGGACAGGGCTATCAAAGCTTAGCTCTGGCTTGAGGGGGAGAGATCCTAAGGTAGAGGGGGTGGCAGGGGTCAGGGTGCTGGTAGAGGGAAGAGTGTAGCTAGGTCCTGGCCAGAGTGACAAGAATTGCCATTCAACTTGCCAAAGTTGAGGTTTGAACTCTCAAAGGAGTTTCCCCTTCTTAACCCAGGTTCTTTTCTGGGGCTCTTTGAAGCACGCCTTTCCGCCTCCTCACTCCTGGGTGGGCGCCCTCAGGGGCTCACCGATATGGCATCGCGGCCGCCTTCGGGCTGGTAGCGCCAGGTGAAGGAGATGTCATCTGAGACCCACTCGCTGGACCAGAAGGAGCAGTGCAGGGTCACCCGGGAGCCCACAGCACCATGGACCTCCCTGTCCGTGTAAACCACGATGGCCTGGGCGGGGGACAGCACTGCAAACACAGAATGGGAATCAGATACACGTGAGGGTCCAAAGAGGACAGTGATCAACAGGAAGTCAAAAGCTGAGTGACAGACAGGCCAGTGGCCATGGCAAAGACTGGGCAGAAACGATCAATTCTGAGGTCAGTGGAGCCACTAAGGTGGGTACCACCCAGCGACGTAAAGTAGCTCAAGGTAAGATCCGCCTCCTCGGGGCGGGGCCGGGGCGGCTGGCGGACCTCCTGGTGGGCGGAGCAGCCCGGCCCATCTCGTAGGGCCAAGCTCCTTCCCTCTAAGCCCAGCCCCGCTGGTTCCCCGTAGCTCCTCCTCTCCTGCTTTGGCTCGGGCAGAAACTGTTCTCTTCCCAATAGTGGGCACCTTGACCAGTCCTCCCACATCCACCGCCACTGTGAACCATGGGGTCATTTTGGTGTCACCAGGGAGTACTACCCGCACCCCTGCACCCCTCTAGTGTCGCCATTGTCTGAGGCAGAAATATCTCTAGACTAACTGAATTGATGAGCGTACATCCTGTCGCAGGCCCAGTTTTTCAGCAGGTTCCGTGGAGGAAATGAAATCAGCAATAACAGTCCACTCTGGAGAACTTCCAGAGGCTGCATTCGATTTCCAAGTCTCACTTTCCCTTTGGCTCCGAGTCTTTTAAAGCTTTCTGTTAGACACGAGCTTTAAATTGTACTTTTATTTATTATAAATTATATAGGCAAAACATTGCATTTGTCTTATAAACTATTCAAGCAATAGAGATAAGCTAAAGTCATCCTTGGCACCCCTCAACCAATTCTCTATCTGTAGTCCTGTCCCAGGCACAAACTGTATTACCAGTTTAGTGTGTATCTTTTCCCTAAACATTAAACTCAGTATCATATATATATATATATATATATATATATATATATATAAAATAATAATATGTATCATATGTAATCATATATGTATATACATATATATATAATCCCGGAAAAGAAAACTATTTCTATATAGTTTCTTTTCTGGGAATATATTTTTCTTACATATATTGCATTATGCTCTATATTTTTTCCTTGTGTAAGAAATATATATTTGAGAGTTCTTTCCATTCTGACCACAAGGTCTGTAATTCAAAACTACTAGCTACTTCAAGGGAAAAAGATGAGGTGCTGAACTCTGCTAAAAAGTTAACAGTCCAAAAAAAAAAGTTAAATAAATAAATATATATATTAAAAATTCATCATATGGCAAACTCAAGTTTCATTAGAAAAATAAAAAGGAGCTGACTGGAGGGTGTAAGTCCTGCTAAATTCTCAGTTGCCACACAGCCTGGTCCTGAGGGAGTCAAAGAAGGAAGGTTTTCCCACCTCGCATCGCTGTGATACCGGGCAAGGCCTTGAGGCAAGAACTCAGATGATTGCGCAGGCAGGTGAACCCTCAGTGATTCCCCGGCCTCACTCTCCTCACCCATTCTGGCCCAATGCACTCCCAAGACCCACCCTAAAGAAGGTCATTCCAGGGAGACTATGTGTGTGGGCTGGCTCCTGGGTGGGGATGACTGTAGGCCTTTTTGTTCTTCAGGATTGGGTGTGGGCAGCCAAGCCAACAAAGCCCCATTGTCTGACCAATGCTGGGGCTCATGCCACCTTGCTTCCACGGTCTTAGTCTCATACCTCAACATAAAAGATCTCTGGTTCACCTCCTGCAACCCTTAAATGTAACAAATGAGGCTCTTCATTAGCTTTTGTTTTATGTGCCTCCTATTATAAACGCCATCCTTGCCCTTCTCAATGGTTCCATAAACGGGGCAGGTGCTGGGACAGGGCGCTTTCTCCTCCTGGAACCCCAAGATTCCCTGAGCATGCCTCTCCCTATCTTAACATTTTCTCAGGATGCCCCAGCACAGACCAGAAGAATCTAGGTTCTGGATTTCCATCCTAAGTCCAGGAACTGATAGCAGAGAACCTTGAACATTCTGAGCAAGCTTGCCTTCTTCAATTGCCTACTGCTCACACATTGTGTTGAGTAGGCTTCAGAGTAGCTCAGAGAAGAGATCCATTCACATAGTCCTGATTGGACCTTTTCTTCTTTACCTGACACAGGCAAGGAAGCAACTGTTCAATATACGAAAGAAGGCAGCTTTAGAAGGATAAAACCTTACCTTCTTTTTTCTATTCTGCATTGCCAGGCAATGAGTGGTGACTAAAATCCAGGTGTTTCATCCTACTTATTTTCATGCTTTAGATCTGCTTCCTACCAGACTCTCCACTTGGCTTTATGGGCACTTTAATGGTTCTCCAACTGAGCCCTGCCATGCCTAGCTCAGCCCTCAAGAAAGCTCTCTACAATAACTCTTCACAGAAGACCTTTACTGCCTCCCTCCAAACCATATTTCCCCCTTTTCTCCCAATATCACATTAACTTCCTCCTTTGCTTGCTCTTTCTTTGATTGCAGTTGGAGGTGCGGAGAGCAGCGCAGGCAGCATTGGATAGACATTGGAGTGGGGTGGTTGCTGAGAGATCACCTGAGCTTCAGGGCTCCCAGACCGGGTGGGTCTACTTACCCAAAGACGAGAAGAGCAGCACAGCCAGGATAGGGCTGGGGCTGGACGAGGGAGCCCCGGGAGCCATTGCAGGGCAGGGGCTAGGGCCCGGAGTAGCGTCTGTGGGGTTGGGAGAGTGGGGGACAAGGAACTGAGAGGGGGTTCCTGGAACTTGCTTAAAATCCCCTGGGGCCTCAGCATGAGGGGGCTGTCTTGAGACACTAACCAATTACAGGCTGGCATGTGAAATTGAGAGGTGGTAGAGAGGGGGGCAGAGTGCAGGAAGCAGAAGGGGCATTGTGTGCTCCGGGTGGAGGGGTGGGGGGGACACATACCACCCCATACACAGAGGCTTTGTGTCCTCTGGCCTCCCCCTGCCCCAAGCTGGAATGTTGTGGGGTGGCAAGGGAAAGGGACAGAAAAAGGGACACAGACACATTTCTGGGAAGAAGAGATGGGCAAGGGAACCTGAATCCTCAAACCATGACAAGGAACCCCCTTCTAGGGTTCCCTACCATCCTGGGGACTAAAGGCAGGGTTTCCCTGAGAGAACTCTGAAAACATGACAGTGCTTGTTAATCCTGACTGCTTTGAGCTGTATACACACTTCTGCAGGTGACCAGATCTTTTGCGAATATATATATTTTTAAATCCCTCTGAAGTCCATCTTCTCAGATAGAAGCCTTTCTTCAGGGAAGAGGCTCTTCAGTGTCTCAAGCTGTAGGTTAAATTCATTCCAATTTAGAACAAGGCAACAAGGTTATATTGAAAACCAGTTATATGTAAGATATGGGGGTGAGGGTCTCAGAAAGAAGAATAAGGATTAAGTTTCTCCCTCAAGGAGTTCAAATTCTAGTTTGCAGGCGGCTGAGAGGACAACATCAACAACCAACTCTGAGAATTCACTGGAAGTACAAAGGCGGGCATACACAGCTGCAATATCATGAAGATTAAATAAATTACATAAGAGACATTTAAAGCCATGTAGATTTCATTTGATGAATGATCAGTTGTAGTAGATCTATGTAAGAGGCAGTATTAGATATGGATCGACCCTGAAGGATGCATGCATTTTAAGAAAAAGGAATAGGTCGGGAGGTTAACCAAGTAGATGGAACAGTGAGTGAGAAAGTGTGTGTGCGTGCGTGTGGGTAGGTTTGTGAAGTACTGTGCATACTCTAGGTAGATCTCATGTTATCCATTTTGACTCGATTTGGGAAACTTAAGTCTGAATAGGAAGTTGGAGCCAGTTTGTAAAGGGCTTTAAAAGAAAAGGGGATGGGTTTCATTGGATACATCACGAGAATTTCCTGAAGACTTTGATGGGGGTAGGAGTAAGTGGTGCTTATATGGTTGGAGCCAAGTTTTGGAACAAATCTGGCCAGGGAAGTCTTCATCCCAAAGCTCTCCTGACTGCTGGCAGGGTTTCTCTCCTAGGGATCACTCTTTACTTCCATTCTTCCATCTGGAATTGTTCTCCCATTTTCCTTGCTCTTCTTTTCCCTCAAACCTTGACCTTGCTTCTTCCTTCTGGTACTTTTAGAGACATCTCGTTCATAAGGGGCTTGACTAGTATCTGCTCTGGCTCTCAGTGTGTTTTATTTCCACCCCTTTTTTATATATATCCCTCTTTCCTGGGATTGCCACACTACTTATTGTGCTTGTTTGTGTGTGTGTGTGTGAGCGTGCGTATGTGAGTGTACTGATTATGAGGACAATACATGTGTCTGCATCTTTCTATACTCTACAACACCTTTAAGACTCTGGCAAAAAAGTCTATACACATTTGTTAAATGAGGGTATTTAAAGAGTTAAGTGGGGAAAGTGTCCATTGGATTTGTTCATGTCAAGCTCCAGAAGGCCAAAAACTGCCTCTTGATGAACGAACTTTCTGTTGATTAATCTGTGCACGAAATAGAACTTGTTTTCTGAGCTATTCTTTTTTTTTTCCGGAGCTACTCAGTGAAGGTGTTGGAGCAGAGGCTTGAAGAGCAGCGTCAGAGACGCTGCAGAGGAGACCCCTGCACTGGAAGCAAGATTGGATTGGAGAGCCTTTAAGGTCCCTTTCAATCCTAAAGTCTAAGCATGAAAGTGATTTCTGTGTCAAGCATTACAGAAATGCAAACTAGTATCATTTAGTTGGTGCATAAATAAATGAATTCGTGCTATTTAAATCCGGAAAGGAAAAGTGCAGGAGGGCTAAATATAAATAAGACTTGAATATTAACACCACTGACTGTTTTATTGTAGAAGAGGCGTTGCTCTGGGCTCCGCCCACCATTACCCAAGAAAAAGCTCAAGACTTTTGCACTGTTAGGTCTCTCTATCACTTGCTTCCCAGCTCCCAGCCCTCCTTAATAAATGTCCTGCAACCAATTTCTGTACTTGGGTTCTTGAAAACTATAGATAAATAAAAGTGGGTCCTTTCCCCCCCAGCCGCCCTGCCCCCTGCACTTTATCCCAGGTTCTTTGGGCTGTGGGTGTCACCCACATAGCGCTGAAACAAGGAACAAGAGAGCGCTGTCTTTGGCGAGTGGGCGTCTAGTTCATGCGGCATCTCAAGCCCAGGAATTGTGGGGCATAAAACGAATCGAGGTGGTTGGAGAGGCTTCTTGTGCTTGGAAGATTTGTCTCTTCCGTAGGCGCTCTTCACATCTCCCACCGAGGGCCTCAATTTGTGTGTCTTTGTATAGGTGAAGCTTCGCATTAGAGGAGGCGAACTGCCCGATTATCTTTTCCCCTACTACAGCGGCCTTTGTCGGCTGACCTGGGGCGGAAAAAAAATAAGACTGAGGAGTCCTCGGTGAATAAGTTGGGGGAAAAAACTTTCCGTACCATTTGAGATGAATATAGGAGAGATAAACATTACAGATCTTGAGCCAGCGGCAATTCTGCCGAAATCCTGGCAAATTTTGGTAGCCGTAAGCTGAGGAAAGCGAGGTGGCCAACAAAGAGCTAACACAAACCAGCCAGCGCTCTAAGCCAGCGGTTCCCAGCCTGTGGGTCCCGACCCCTTTGGGGGTCCAACGACCCTTTCACAGGGGTCGCCTAAGACCATAGGAAAACACATAAATAGTTCACAACATACAATGACATAGTTTTGCGATTAATCACTATGCTTTCATTATGTTTATGTTCAATTTGGAACCATGGAAGAACATCCTGCATATCAGATATTTACATGACGATTCCTCACAGTAGCAAAATGACAGTTGTGAAGTAGCAAGGAAGATAACGTGATGGTTGGGGTGAGCACCACGTGAGGAGCTGTGTGAAAGGCTGGGGCAGGAGGAAGGCTGGGCTCTCAGCGGAGACCGGCGGAATAGGTTCGCGGCCCCTTTAAAGCGCGCCGCGGGTCACGTGACGGGAGCGCCGCCGCCGCCGCCGCCTGGTCGGCCCGGGTCGCGGGGCAGCCGTGCGTCACTTCCGTCCCATCCGGAGTCCAAGATGGCCGCGCTCTTGCTGAGGTGACTTTTGGTGCGACTGGGGTCGGTGCCTGTGGGCCTCGGGAAACCCGAACCGGCCCGCTAAGTGTAGCTGACGGCGGTCTAGCCTGTGGCAGGGCCAGGGAAGGACCCCTGGGCGAGGAGGCCGCGCGCTCGGGAATCCTAGGGGCACCCCCCCCCCCCTTGCAGCCGTTACCGTGCGCCCCGTAGGGGTCACTGGACCGTTACGTCGTACTTTCGCCATCGGGAGGGGACGCGGGCTTTCCCCCCTGATACATCCCACCTGTTTCCTAAATTGCTCCCGGGGCTGCATATAACGGGGGCTGAGCTCTGAGGACAAATGGCTCTCCTTTGAGACCAGTAACCTATGGGCCCGACAATTTCGAGATCTTATTTGGGGGCGCGCCCCAGGGAGGGGCCTTGGCGGTGCTTTGCCTTTGGGAGCCCTGCCCAGCTTCCTAACGGGCCCCGCCGGGCAGGCAAACGGTCGCGCTGCTGCCCCGAAGTAGCCGAGGGGGTTCATTTCTTACTCTCTTTCGTTTCGGTGAAGGAGAGCGTGTTCCAGTCTGTTTGTTTTTTACCAAGTCAAATTCACTGTGCAGAGAAACCTCAGGTTTTCTTCCCCAGGCCTCATTCTCTCCTGGGAGCCTGCTGGCCCTGAAATTTTAGACAACCCTCGAACAATCCCAGCGCTTGTATGCCAACCCTACTGGGGGAACCTTTGTTATGGAAAGTTAGCATGAATGCGGTCTACAGTCCAATTCCCGGTTTCCCCGATTCTTCCATTTCTCTTACCACTCGCTGTATGTCACCTACTATGAAAATAGAGTGACTTCGTGTAGTTTCCTTTTGAGACAAAATGATTCTTCTTGGAATTGAGATCAGGAATAACATTGTTCTCTTGAGCATCTCATCACCATACGTTTTCCCCTACCGTGTGCCAGGACCAGCGTTGACCAAGCTCCTGATTTTACTCCAGGTGGTTCGACCATGATGAATTCTTGGACAAATCATATTTTGGTGGAAGTACCGTTGAGTTTGGAATGAGCCTACTCATTACAAATAGTTGATTATAAGTGTCAGGATTCGTGATTAGAAGCTGAGGTCATTATACTCACTAAATATGTCTACATAGTGCCATTTTGAGTTGTGTAGAACTAGCAACCGTAGACTTCAGTGCTATGAAATACACTTCTTTTTCATTAGTATTGGAACTTTTTTTTTTTATGGATCATTTTATTGGGGCTTTTGTTTTTTGTTTATTTTTTTTTCTTTTTTAACATTTTATTAGGGGGTTCATACAACTGTTATCCCAATCCATACACACATCAATTGTGTAAAGCGCATTTGTACATCGTTTCTCAAAACATTTTCTCTCCATTTAAACCCCCGACATTAGGTCCTCATTTTTCCCCTCCCTCCCTGCTCCCCCCTGGCTTTTGTTTGTTTTTTAAAGATAATTTTAAATAGTAGTGGAATCTTAACCTCTCCTGGCAAAGAGAGGTTTCTCTTTGCCATTTCTCCATTTCTCTCAACAGTAATTAAAAAAATCATTTTATTGGGGGCTCATACAATTCTTATCACAATCCATACATACATCCATTGTGTCAAGCACATTTGTACATTTGTTGCCATCACATCGTTCTCAAAAAATTACTTTCTACTTCAGCCCTTAATATCAGCTCCTCATTTTCCCCCTCCCTCCCCCTCCCCCTCCCTCATGAACTCTTGAAAATTTATAAATTATTATTACTTTGTCATATCTTACACTGTCCGATGTCTCCCTTCACCCACTTTTATGTTGTCTATTCCCCAGGGAGGAGGTTATATGTAGGTCCTTGTAATCGGTTCCCCTTTTCTACCCCACCTTTCCACCCTCCAGGTATCGCCACTCTCACCACTGGTCCTGAAGGGGTAATCTGTCCTGGATTCTCTGTGTTTCCAGTTCCTATCTGTACCAATGTGCATCCTCTGGTCTAGCCAGATTTGTAAGGTAGAATTGGGATCATGATAGTGGGGGGAAGAAGCATTTAACAAGTAGAGGAAAGTTGTATGTTTCATCGTTGCTACTCTGCACCCTGACTTGCTTGTTTCCTCCCAGAGACCCTTCTGTAAGGGGGTGTCCAGTTGCCTATAGATAGGCTTTGGGTCTCCACTCTGCACTCACCCTCATTTGCAATGACACGATTTTTTGTTCTTTGATGCCTGATACCTGATCTCTTCGACACCTCGTCACACAGGCTGGTGCACTTCTTCCATGTGGGTTTTGTTGCTTCTGAGTCAGATGGTTTAAAAAAAAATTTTTTTTTTATGAGAACCAGGAAATGTTTTTTAAAAACCCTTTTGGAAAAAAAAATTTTTTGATAGAAATTCAGTCATTCTATTTCATTAGAGGGACTTGTCTATTTTTTTTTTTTAACATTTTATTAGGGGCTCATACAACTGTTATCCCAATCCATACACACATCAATTGTGTAAAGCGCATTTGTACATCGTTTCTCAAAACATTTTCTCTCCATTTAAACCCCCGACATTAGGTCCTCATTTTTCCCCTCCCTCCCCGCTCCCCCCTCCCGCATGAGCCCTTGATAGTTTACAAATGGGTATTTTGTCATATCTTGCCCTGTCCGACTTCTCCCTTCATCCACTTTTCGGTTGTCCGTCCCCCAGGGAGGAGGCCACACACAGTTCCATGCAATTGGTTCGGACTTGTCTATTTTTAATGTACTAATTAACCTCAGAGGAAAATACCTTCTAAGAAAATTCTAGGGGCTGGTTTCCAATTCTAGCAGCACCACTAATTCCATTTATTGATTTTATGATGTGTTTTTCTCATTTGTGAACTGAAAATAGTAATATTTGGGAACACTTACGAGGAATTATGGGTTCAGTATTCCTAATGCTTGACTATTTAAAAATTATTAGTTATCACAGTACTGTATGCTTTTAAATAGTGCCCTCTATTTTGAATACTCCTTAAGTAGCTCACAGGCCATCCACAGATTAACTGTCAGCTGATTAACACAGACTACACTGGTACTCAAAGAATGATTTGCTAAAACAAAGCCAAGGAGACAGTGTAAAAAACACTTTGCCCTTAGGCAGTGTTTGAAATTGGATTACTATGACTTCTTAGCCAATCTTACAAGGTTGTTTCACCCTTAATGGAAATTAGGGTACCGGGGTTTGCATGCAAGAGAGCTCTGGTGGTGTAGTAGTTACGTGTTGGGCTGCAGTCTGCATGGTCCGCAGTTCGAAACCTCCAGCAGCTACATGTGAGAGAGACTTGGCTTTCCACGTGTGTATAAACAGTTAAAGTCTGGGAACCCCCTGGTCGCTATGAGTCAGCATTTACTCAATGGCAGTGATTTTGGTTTTGAGGGCTGCGTGCAGGGGTCCTCAAACCTCAGCCCATAGGCGGCCCACCAAGGACATTTATCCGGCCTCCCAGGTGTTTTTCCCTCTTTTGTTTTTTTACTTCAAAATAAGATCTGTGCAGTGTGCATAGGAATTTGTTCATAGTTTTTTTTTTAAACTCTAGTCCAGCCCTCTAACGGGTCTGAGGGAGAGTGAACTGGCCCCCTGTTTAAAAAGTTTGAGGACCCCTGGGAGTGTATCCCCACCAACATAGTCAGGGCCCCAGAACCAGTCTGAGTAAACACTTGGCCACTAATCTGCAATAGAATATGTATTTCAATCATGGTCCATTTCCCCTCTTGTGTAGTCCCACCTGGGATGGTGATTAATTGATCTGCAACCAATTGTAATCTTGTGAGAATTTCCTTTGTTTTATATACTGATCAGCATGGCCATTGAATCCTTTGGCTACCAAATGACCTCATGCTGATGGTCTTCATCTGGGTGATTTTGTTTTTGTCTTTGTTCTGGTTAAAGACTTAAGGGGTCTCAATAATTAAAAAAATTTTTTTTTTCTTAAATAGAAACCAAGTACAGGTGCTTTCTATATAATTATATTCTTTTTTTTAAGCGCCTTAATATCTTTACTTATATTTTTCAAAGTAAAGTAATATTTACAGTAAGAATTTACAGAGTAGATTAGTTTCCCATTTAACAATTTCTACACAGATTATTCAGCGATATTGATAACATTTTTCACAATGCATTATCATTCCATTCTGGTTATATATAATTATATTCTTGCTGCTTAATCACAAAGTCATCAAGTTTCATTTACCTTCTGGCCAATACACATCATACTAAAAATGCTGTATACTAAAAAAAAATGATGTTAAAGAATATACTTTTAACTCTAAATTTATCAGCTTGCCTTTTACAACAAGCACTGAAAGATCTCCCCAAAACACACTTGTTACTGTCGAGTGCATTCTGATTCATGGTAGCGCCATGTGTTTTAGAGTAGAGCTGCTCTACATGTGATTTTCAGTGGTTGTAGATGACTTGGACTACACATTCACAAACCATTTTTTTAAGCCTCTTCTACGTGCCAAACATTATAGGTGTCATGGATAGAAAGTATTCCATTTGTATCCTTGAGGGGCTCAGAGTCTAGCAAGGGAGATTAATTATTAAGCAACTTAATGTTGGTACAGAGAAATGAATAAATGGTATTGATACATAGATATGAACATGGCAGGTACAGTAAGCAAGGCTATGGAAATGGGACTGCCATTCCAGTAAGTACTGGATTTTGAGGAGCTTATTTTATCAAACTGGAGGGAAGTTCAGATGAGGACAGCATGAGCAAAAGGATGTAGTCATGAGTGTTTGATCTGTCTGTGTATAATGTAAACCGTTCAGTGGCTGAAGCTTAGGGGGCTGAAGAGAATTTGTGGGAGAATGGTTCTGGAGAGTTGGATTGAGACGAGCCATATTTGCTTACAATTTGGAATTTATACCACAAGCAATAGAGAACTGTTGTGTACTCAGGCAGAAGAGTGAAGAAAGCTTTATATTTCAATAGAGTGATATTGAGTGGGAGAGACTGGTGCTAGGAAAACGTGTTCAAGAGTTCCTATTAAATCCTTAGTGAAAAATGAAGAGAATATGGACAAAGGAACATAGGTTGGAGTGGAAAGACGTTTCCTAGGTAGTATTGGTAGGATTGGGTGATGCTGTATACATAATATGGGAGGTGAGAGAAATGAAATCACAGGAGACTGAGATTGTAGCTTAGTTGAGTGACAATAGAATTAATCAGAATTTTTTTTTTTATACCGTAAATGTCCTTCAAAGTTATGTATCTACTTTAGTTTGGCTATTACCTCAGACATTCATGCAACTTTTTGGAGTATCATCAGATCAAGTTTAGAGGTCACTTAAGAGAAACTCATTTTATTATACTCACGTCTTGTTTTGGACCAAAAATGATATTATTCAATTTGATCAGATAGATTTGGCTTTGAATATCTTATTTCTTTCCAGAAGTCAGATCTGTTCTCAACCAATTACTATTTTTATCACCATGAGGGTTTTAAAGAGACTCTGATGTTAATTTTAAAGACCTTAGGGAGAGCAATAAAATAACACTATTGTCATATATATGTGGTTGTATTGTAGTGTAGAGACTCATGTCCATTTTCTTATATAATCCTTCTAGTGACCAATGTGCTAGGTATTATCCTGTTTTATAAATGTCAAAACAAACTCTGACTTGCTCATGTTACACGACTTATTAAGGACAGACCTAGGACATCGGTCTAGCTTTGTTTTTATTTTGTTCACGTTCTTTCTACGTTACTATTGCTGCCCCAATCCAGGGAGGACCTTTAAAAACAATTGAACAAGAATTACGTTTTTGAGAAGGCCTGTACAAGGGGGCTTCAAAAAATTTGTGTAAAAATAGAGTTAAAAGATAATGGAATTTTTCCACAACTTTTTTGAAAACCATCTAACTTATTCAGACTTTTGGAAGAGGATAACTCTTACTAGAAATGATAAATTCTGCCCTGCTCATTAAAAATAGAACAAAAAGTACTATTGCTTTCTAGCTGTGATATGTGAAATACCATACTTGAGGTGGAAAAAGGAATCTCAAATTTACTGCCTTAACATGAGTGGCAGAATAAAGATTTACTTTTGTCATATTTCAAATAAGATTATGGAGCCTGCAACTAGTTTCTGTAAGGGCCTTGTGGAAAGTTTACATTGGTATTTGTCTGGAGAAACAATAGCCCAAGACAGAGAAAGCGCCATAGATTCCAACCCACATCTGCAAACTCTTGCTGGGTAGCTGAGTGACTGGGCCTAGCCTGGCGTGAGGAATGCGGGCCCTGCAACTTCACAGTCACAATAACTTCAATTGATTTACAGAGAGTTGTTCCCACTTCTTTCTGGGGTCATTGGGTACACAATGTCTTTATTCACCTCTTGCCTCCAGAGCTGGAAAGAGGGAAGAGCTGAAGGAGGACATGTTGATTGGATTTCCCCCCCTTCAAATAGTGGATCCTTCTGGTGTACTGGGGTAAAGCCTAAGTGACTTGCAATATGTGCTCATGTAGTTGTGCATCTGGTTTCAATTATGTGAGGAACATCACCAGGTTCTTTAGAAGATCACTGGATCTTAAGATCTTATATCCCCGTAGTGCCAGGCACGTAGTGGATAGGAAATAACCACTTAAGGAATAAGTGGCTTTTGTTTTGTTTTATTGCAGAACTTCACTCTGATAATCACCTCATAAATGTTTTGGGTTTTTAAAATTTATTGGGGGCTCATACAACTCTTATAATCCATCCATCCATCCATTGTGTCAAGCACATTTATACATCTGTTGTCATCATCATTCTCAAAACATTTTCTTTCTACTTGAGCTCTTGATATCAGCTTCTCATTTTTTCCCCTCCCTCAATGAACCCTTGATAATTTATAAATTATTATTACTTTTACCTTTTAAATGTTTTAGCAAAGATTGGATCTCTTGATGTGACTAAGTAAGTTAAGTGATCATGCATTTTTCACAATTCTCTGCAAACTTTGATGTTTAGTTCTTTTTTTGTAGGTGTAGTCTTTTTTTTATTGTTTATTGTTTTATTTTTATTTTTTTAAAACATTTTATTAGGGGCTCATACAACTCTTACCACAGTCCATACACACATCAATTGTGTAAAGCGCATTTGTACTTCATTCTCAAAACATTTTCTCTCCACTTAAACCCCCGACATTAGGTCCTCATTTTTCC